TGGGAAGACTTCGTTTCAAATATCTCCTGTTCACACGTTTACTTACTAGCTGGCTACGTTTGCCAAAGGCACTTGCTCACCAGCTTACTTAGCGAACAGAGGGCAGGTAGTCCTCGGCCCCTCACACCCCCCCGGGGAGACAGCGCTCAGGAAGTAGTCTGGACCGTCCATGTCTGCTTTCTGTTGCTTTGTGGATGGCACCAGGTGAAAGGGCTCCCTTCAAAAACAATGCCAAACTCAGACACTGGAGGAGGTCTTTGACAAAGACACGGGCAGTGTGATTCCGGGGGTGTTTTTCATTTACCCTGTCCGTGTCATTTCCAGCTTGGGTGCTGGTTCCGGTCACTAGTCCGACTTGAGGTTAATAGCCGAACCAGGAGCAAAAAATGAGCCAAACTGGGGTTTCTTGAGGTGATTTATTTTAGCTAAATATGTCAGTTGTTTGTTTGTTCTAAAAATACCGCTAGAAGGATGGGGGAGTATTCCAGATTGTTGACACTTTGACTGAAATGTGAAGCGAAATGTAACTGATAGGGGATCTAACAGGAGTTCCTGGCTGTCATAAAGAGGAGGCCGGATTAGGATACCGGGAGGTGCAGCTGAATCCTCACAGATGGCCCCGTCGGGGCTGAGGGGCTGCAAAGTTCTGGAGAGCGAGACTCCTGCTCCTGACACTTGAGTTTGTTAAATAAGTGTGGTGTTCATCTCCCCAGGACCCAGCAGACCTGGGAGCCTGGGCTGGGACGACACTCAGGTGACAGTGAGGCCGGTGTGGGGAAATGCCGAATGGCCTCCCACACGGGCCGGCGCATTAGGTGGCATCTCTTTTTGAGCACCTTGGGACCTTAAAAGTGGTCAGATTTTTAGAACTTCCTCAGTGGTTAAAAACTCACAGACAGGAGTTTGCCGGTAAGCCACGGGGGTCAGTTCCTGGACAGGGCTTGATCCCTAGAGAAGAGCCATGTTCTTCTAACCCCCGCTTTGGTGCTTGTGTTAGCAAACCAATGGGGGAGTCAGCGTGTGCCTTGGGGTTTTGTAAAGACAACTAGGTACTCAGATTTGACTCCTGGAAACCTTGTAAACTAGGGGTTTCTGTCCGGTAGCCTGTGCGTTGTCATTCGCTCGCAGAGTCCCGTTAGGTCAGCGCACATTTTAAAAATGTTTGGATTCGATTACTTCTTGGGTAGGCAGGCACGACTCCAAACACTCCCTGATATCTTGAGCCCAGCTCCTATTTACTTGCCTGATTGTGGAAGACATTTGAGTTTTCCATCCCGAAGAGGACTCCCAATGGCAGTGGATGACTGCTCAGTGCTCTGCAGACTCGGGGTGCTCTGTACATGGGTGACAATGTGAATGTGCCCCCTGGGTTGGTACACCGACCCTCCCTGGAGAGACTCTTAGGGAGGACTTGTATGGGGTTCTAATGCAGCCATCAGAAAGCCATACTGGGAATCCCTCCAGAAGGAATGGAAGCATTCTGTTCAAGATCTTGGGTAGGGGCCCCCTTCATTTGTGGGCTTAATGGAAGTGGTTGATCAGAATTCCCACTGAATTTAAGCATAAAATACTCCCAAAATTCTTACTGGAGTGAAATAAACACAGGTAGAATTTCCTAAGGGGGGGGCGGCGGCTATGGGAACTCTTTCCTTTGGAGGTCTTTTAAAAAATCAGCCCATTGAAGGTTAGGATGGAGAGTTACGAACCAGAGTGGGGGTTCCTGAACTTAAATTGGCACACAAATCGTGCGGGAGTCGTGTTACATGAAGATTCAGGCATACTGGATCTAGAGTGGGTGGCTAGTCTGCATTTCTCACAAGCTCCCGGGGCTCACTGAGGCTGCCGGCCCTGGACCACACTCTTGGGTAGTGAAACATAGGGACTGCTCAAGGCCTTGTCCAGCTTTGGATTAATTGGAAAAACCTATATTTTTTTCTAATGAGCCAATGAACAGTGTGTCAATACGGCCGTGAGGTAAGCCTAATGGTCAAGGAAATTGTTTCCTGCGTAACAGTTGAGTAGATCGACCATTCATTCAGGTGACGTTTATTGAACACTCTCCATTAGTGAGTCCCCGAGCGGCATTTGAGGTCAAGTGGGAGCAGTCACGTGAACCGGTTCCTTCTTGCCCCTGCCTTCCAGCGATAGTCAGAGGACCCTCAGCACGGTTTGAGGGTGCAGCTCTGGGGCTGGCATAGCTGTAAACCCAGCATCATCATTGTCCCCTCTAGTGGGAAAGGGGCCCTGCTGAACTGTGTCAGCCCCAGCGGCTCACACGCCAGGCACAGTTTGGATTTTCAGCGACAGTGACTCAGCCCAGGATCAGAGGCTGCTTTTTTGCCAAGAACACCACCATCTGGGATTGGATTGCTTTGAAGACCAGCCAGGAGAGGCTCCAAGACCAGCACACAGTAGGCCATCAGAAATGTTGGTGACAATGACATTGAGTTAGATTTCCTTCTGGAAAGCCACACTGGAACCCAGAAGAAACCCCTCATTTGGCTCTGAGGGGTTGGTTCAATTTATTTGATAACATTTCCTCTGCCTGACCAGCGACGGGCTGCTTGCTTCTGGATTCTTTCAGACTTTGTTCCCAGCTGACTCATCTGGCTTCAAATTTCCATCTATCTTCCCCTTGTCACCACATGCTTTTGGCACATCTCTTTTGATTTCTCTTACCATTCTGATCTCTGGCTGCCAACCATCTTCTCAATTCAAAATTTCCTTTCAACATTCCTGCATCCCCCGGCCCCCTCTGCCCAACCTGTTTCTTTGACCTGGTGACAGATGCACACTTTCTTTCAGGTGTTTGGCAGCCAGACCCACCTCAGCTCCCCAGTTAGGCTCCCTGGAAGTGAGAGATGGGGATGGTATTCAAGGCCCCCATGGCCATTGCCTCACTTGGGCAGATACCACGTGCTTTTCTTCACAGCTGTTTTGCATCCCCGCCTACATTCAGCAGATAAACAAAGAGCATGCTGAGCCCAAGAGCGTTCAAACACAGACCAGCACAAAATACCAAATGTTCAAGGTTCCCATGATTTTCATTCTGAATCAGCTGCCTTGAATACAGCATTTACAGATCGGCTAATTAGTGTGAGTTTTGTGTATTAATATGCATGTTTCCTCCTTGATGCACTTAATGAGCGCATTTTTTTTATACTGCCAGATAAGGTTGGAGGGAATCATTAATTTAGTATTTCTCTAAACTTTTCTCATTTACTGTCATTGAGAGTTCTTCACCAGAAAGCTTTGTAAAGCATATTAAATTTCAGAATTTAGAAATACCTACCCTTGTGGTGCCTGGGTGGCTCAGTGGCCTAAGCATCTGACTCTTGATTTTGGCTCAGGTCACGATCTCAGGGTCATGAGATTGACCTCCATGTCGGGCTCCGTGCTGGGCGTGGAGCCTGCTTAAGATTCTCTCTTTCTCCCTCTCCCTCTCCCTCTGCCTCTTCCCACTGCCCTCTCTGGAAAAAAAAAAAAAAAGAAGGAGGAAGAAAGAAAGGCCCTTTTACCTTTATCTCAGGCCCCAGTCTTATATCTCAGATTCCAGACACCACTCCTGAGCATATTGTGGGTGCTCACACCTCCCTGCCTATGCTTGAGATATCCATCTGCCTGCCTGAAAGGCCCCTCCCCAGTGCCCCCTCCGGCCCCCCCGTGAGGGTCCTACTTCTTCTCTGTGGTCTTCCATGACCCCCAGGCAGAGTCCCTCCTTTTTGTGCTGCTACCGGAATTTTGTCCATATGTCCGTTCATCACATATCATGTGTACAGAACACTAGACCGTGAGGGAAGATACCATGTCTGATTCCCCTTAGTAGCCTCAGGGGCATAATAGGCACTTTTAAAATGATTGACAAGGGGCGCCTGGGTGGCTCAGATGATTAAACGTCTGCCTTCGGCTCAGGTCATGATCCCAGGGTCCCCGGATTGAGCCCCGTGTCAGGCTCCCAGCTCAGAGGGGAGTCTGCCTCTCCCTCTCCCCCTGCTCATGCTCTCTCTCTCTCTCTCTCTGTATCTGTCTCACATGAATAAATAAAATCTTTTTAAAAATAAATAAATAAAAAATAAAATGATTGACAAAAGGATGAACAATTTTGAATTCATTATCAGGTACATTGACATATATATAGGTGGTCAACTATACAAATACAGCATTTTAACAGATTATAAAAAACATTTTATACATATGAGGTGAGGAGGGAAATAGCTTTCTGCCTGAGGCTGGGGGTCATGGAAGATGTCAGACAGTGGGGTTGTCACAGTTGGGCATGGGAGGGGCCCTGAGGAGAGGACTTCGGGGAGGTAGATGCAGCACCATGAGCTCAGCGGGGAGATGTAAGCGTCTACGGTCAGCTCAAGGAGTGGCCTCTGGGGTCCGGCAGGATAAAGTTCAACTGGAGTGTTACCCTAGAGGTGAGGGTCTAGTGGTTAGGGTGGTTTCCAGGGAGTCAGGAAAGTCTTTCTGGGGATGATCATCAGACATTAAACCTGGCCTTGATAAAATGCCACTTTGAGACTTTCCCTAAGGTGCCGAGGACAAGTCACAATGCCACATGCCCCAGGGGGTGTACCTTCTTTCTAAATTCTACACCAAGCCAAACGCAGCTGTTATTTCAAGAGGTATCTTGGGAGTCATAAGAAATTCCAAAAATAGGGTAAAATATTTCTCTTGGGTTTAATGGAAAGTAAAATCTTGATTAACTGAGTCCTTCAAATGACTAGAATTTTACACACACCGGACTTTGGGGTGAAAGAGGCAAGTCACAAAAGGCACAGGTCAATGGGATCATTTTTTGAAGAAGCACATATGATATATCCTAGGAACAATCCCCCAGAAGCGCAACCCCCATCTTCCTGCGGCCCCACTCGGGTTCCAGGGCCATAATCTGTCCCTAAACCGGGAATCCTGCCTCATGTTCATGGCCAGGTCTTTTCTTCTGCTTGGACTCTTAAGTTCTTTGAGGGCAAGGGACTATATTTTATACCCACTTTTTTTTTTTTTACAAAAAATACCAACTTGGTTTATTGGATAAAAATAGTGATAAAATGGACACAAAGCCAAAAGTTAGAACAGGACATTTTCACATCCTCCCCGGAACTCAAAACCATACTTCCCATCATCGGGGGTTAAGGTGTTAGGGAGCCAGAGCCCCCCAAAATCCCTCACTCTTCACCTGCACTGGAAACAAGGCCTGCAGTAGGAGAACCCAGAAAAGGAGAAAGTCAGAGGCAAAGTCAGCCCTGTCTACACCTTCATCCCTAAAAGTCTCTGGGTTGGAGGGAAGCAGGGAAGGAGTAAGGGGGCCAAAGTGGCTGGGACCAGCCTCTAGGGCCCACTGCCCAAGATGTCCTAGAGGAAGTTATCTTTGTCCCCGTCCAATCCCTAATAAGTACCATTGTCAGGCCTTGGGAAGAAGAGGAAAGGGGATAGTTGGTTCAAAAACCAGACGTGGTCTCTAAACCTTCTTCCGGCATTGGTAAAAGCCCAGAAAGTGACCGTCCAGGCCTTGGGGCGCCACACCTTTTCCCTCCTGCCCAAACAAGAGGTAAAAAGGAATTCCTTGGAACAGAGCAAGCCCAGCTGCTCTTAAATCTCCACGTCGCTTTCCTTGTCATTGTCATGGTCTCCATCACAGAACTCGTTGGGTGCCTCTGGCCGGCTATAGTTCTCCTCAGGACCCCTCTCCTCTGCATCAGCCTCATCAGTTCTGTCATAGGTCAGGAGGTGTGCGGGCACATCATGAATCTGGACGCTGGGTGCATGGTTCAGCATCTTCAGGTTTTCAAAGATTGTCTGGCGGATCTGGTCCAAATACTGGCATGAGTTCTGATTCTTGGTGCGGGTGCTGACATCCGGATGGAGCGTGAAGTCCGGGGCAAAGTGCTCAAAAGTATTCACTATAGGGAAGCTCCTCACTAATGGCTTCTTCTACCAGCAGTGATGTTTCATATGTCCAGCAGCGGGCAACATTTCGAACAGTATAGCCACCACCACCTAGCACCAGTAGAGGGATATTGAAGCTCTTGACATATTCGACACATTCCCCATGTCCTCGAATGCTGAGGTTGAAGCAGCCCAAATGATCACAGCCCAGGGAGTCAGCTCCACACTGGAGCACAATGCACGTAGGTTGGTAGAAGTCCACCACCTCGTTGATAACCGGCTGGAAAAGGTGCTTGTAACTCTGGTCATCAATGCCATCCCGCAAGGGCACATTGAGACAGTAGTAGCGGCCACTCTCTGCTCCAACTTCATACATATCACCTGTGCCAGGAAAGAAGTAGTTTCCATATTTGTGGAAGGAGACTGTCATCACCCAGTCAGTGAGGTAGAAGGCTTCCTGAACTCCATCACCATGGTGGATGTCAGTATCAATGTAGAGCACCCGAGGGTGGTACTTGAGCAGCTCCAGGATGCCAATCACAATGTCATTGACATAGCAGAAGCCAGAGGCCTCAAACTTCTTGGCGTGGTGCAGACCACCAGCCCAGTTCATGGCAATATCACAGATCTTGTTATTCAGCTGGGTTGCTCCTTGCAGAGATGCACCTGTGTAACGGGAACAGAACTCAAAGAGCCCAGGAAACACTGGGCAGTCATCGCCCACATTGAAGGCGTTAAGGCTCTTGGTGAAGCCTTGCATATTGGTGGGGCTGACTCTCTGCAAGAAGTCGATGTAGTGGGCGCCTGGGTGGCTCAGTTGGTTAAGCGACTGCCTTTGGCTCAGGTCATGATCCTGGAGTCCCGGGATCGAGTCCCGCATCGGGCTCCCTGCTCAGCGGGGAGTCTGCTTCTCCCTCTGACCCTCCTCCCTCTCGTGCTCTCTATCTCTCATTCTCTCTCTCTCAAATAAATAAATAAAATCTTAAAAAAAAAAAAAAAAAAAGAAGTCGATGTAGTCCTCAGAATGAAAGTGGCGCATGTCATGCTGGGAGGCCTGGTAGGGCTTGAAGACAATCATCTTATAGAGACCGTAGTGAAGGACCAAACTATGGGTCAATGCCAAGCGATGGGGCTTCATAGGGTGTCCTGCCCCGTAGTGGAAGTTGCCCACGTCGGGGTCGTGGAAATAGGCCACGGTCTTGGCCATGGTGCCGGCGGGAGCAGGCCCCACGCCTCCGCCGCCCACCTGGCTGCCTGCCCCACCCCCCTATTTTATACCCACTTTTAACCCACACAGTAACACAGGTCTTTGCACATCATAGGGTCTTAAGTATTTGGCAATGGATTAGAAAATGCTGTCTATCCTCATTAATGTCAGGAGTGCAGTTAGAATATTTTAGGTCACTCTCCTGTGTTTGTTGTTCAGTGGATCTGGGTTTGCAGTTCTGGTCTACCCATGACTGGCAGTGTGAACTTGGGCAAATTACTCTCAACCTAACCTGCACGGTTGGTGTAAGAATCAGCGGGTAAATATTTAACATACCTGGCAGCAGCTCTTGTTCTTATTTTGCTTGTCTTGAAAGCAGAAGTTTCCTGGCTTGTTGCTTATTATTCCGCAGTTGAGAGCTCTCATATTTTTGTATTTTCTGGAATTGCATTTCCGTTTGGGAGCTTTAGCTCCTAGTATCTAAGGTTGGCTTTACTGAGGTGGGGGGTGGGGGGGAGGAGGAGCTCTTTGACCTGAAAGATGAGTAGATGCTAAAAAAGCAGAAATGGATGGAAAAGGCATTCCAGACAGAAAGAATAATAGCATGTGCAAAGGCCCGGGGTCATGAAGGAGAGTGACATGGAGGAAGTCGATCATGGCTAGAATGAGAGATGTACACGATGGCAGTGAGCAGATGGAGGCTAAGCATTTGGGCAGGAGCCAGGTCAGGAACAGCATTGTGTGAGATGCTAGATTTGGGCTATCAGTAAACATAGTCAGATTGGCCTGTCAGCAAGCTGCTTCTCTTCTTCATTAATTTCCTGTAAGTTTCAGTGAGTCTCTGAACCAAAATTGTTGTAATTAGCCAGATGTAGGGGGTAGGAATAGACCACTTTCCCAGCATGTGACTTCTTACCAAGAAAAGCACCTTACTTAATTCACAGTGGGACTCGGCTAATGTGGCCGGCGGACATCTCAGCCTGCGGTCCCTTCCTTCCGCTCTGCCAGGTTGGCAGTTCCACACGCAGGAATGTAGTCGATGTTGGTTTGTCCCAGGCTTTTTCATGACTTTTTTTTTTTTAAGATTTTATTTATTTATTTGAGAGAGAGAGAGAGAGCAGGAGCGGCGGGGAGGGGCAGCGGGAGAGGGAGAAGCTGACCTCCCGCTGAGCTGGGAGCCCGATGTGGGGCTCGATCCCAGGACCCTGAGATCAGGACCTGAGCCAAAGGCAGACGCTTCACCGACTGAGCCACCCAGGCACCCCCTTTTTCGTGACTTCTCATTTTGTCCTCAGGGTTTCCTCAGTAGGTTGAATCTCTAATATCTTTGGCCATCCACTGCAGCAAACCAATGCCAGTCATTGTTTGCATTCTCTTCATTTCTGTGCTAATGCAGCATACGCCAAGCCAGATGTTTTCGAACAGTCTTGAAATGTGTGAGCAGGGTTCGGCAAACATGATAACAAACATCACTTGTCCTGTTTTCGGGATTGTTCTCTGCCCGTAGCCAAGCCGAGGATTGGGGACGTGGTGAGAAGGAGCAGTCTGCTGGAGGTAGGGCCTCTTCTCCTGCTTGTATTTGTGCGTCCAAGGGAAAACCAGGGTTTGGCATGTTGGGGCGTTCTGCCCATCGCCTGGAGCATACCCGACAGCAGCGGCCAGGCTTTGCTTTTGCTCCCCTGCCCGTGTTTTCTAGCTTCTTCTCTCTGCTTGTCTCTCTCATGCTGTTCCTCCTGCTTCACTTCCAGGTGCCTTTCCCATCATTTGTGCTCAGCAGTTCCACTATTGTTCTTCCTGTCTGGTTCTCTTAAATTCAGCCCACACCTTTTCAACTCCATATCCTGAGTCAAGTGTTTGAAAGCTGTTATTTCATGTTAATTAGAAGTTCTTTTTCCAGCCAAGAAGCCTTGCATGCAACCATTCCCCAAGTTGAGGCTTAGAGACGAGCTCTGGCATTTTGTAGTTTGGGTGTGGTTAAAGGACAATTGGACAGTTGGAACCACACTGCCACCGCAGGCAGGGCAGCCTTCCCCACGGCCTCACCCCCTCCCTGGGGCAGGCATGCTCCAAGCTTGGCTAAGCCAGAAGAGCTCGATGCACCTCCTGGAGAACATCACCACGGTCCTAGGTGGGGTCTCCCTTGGCCAAAATTCCTTGGCAGCCAGACCCAGGAGGGTCTCTGGCATCTGAATAGGTCTCTACCAAATGCTAAAAGGTGACCCTTTGTAACACATCTCCCAGTTGACCCAAGTTTGGTGGGAGATTCTGGTGGCAAAAGGCTCCCATCACTTTCTGGACTGGTGAAGACATCAGCAGGAGTTGGCACCTGGCTCCTGAGAAACCCCTCAGGGAACTTCCACTTCTTGAAATGTTCTTGAGCAGATGTGGAGCCCTGTTCTCGCATTTGGCCTCACCCTTTATCCCATCTGCTTGTAGATCAGAGGCTACATCCCTGTCCACAGACCCAGGCTCGAGGAGGCTGCAGCCCTGAACCCTCCAAGAGCCCCCAGCAGCCCCTCGGGCGTCCTGTATTCCATCTGGAGGGAGGGAGTGGTACTAACCCATTGCAGAGCTTGGGCAGTGATGCATTCGGATCACCCTCTTTCCCTCTCCCACTGAGAAAAAAGAGACTTTCTTCCTCCAAAATGCCTTCAAATGAGGCCATTACATCATGCATGGTTGAGGAATTCTCTTGTTACTGGAAATACATTTCTTAGTCTTCTGTGGTTTGTAGAGAAACTAGTCAATGAGCCAATGTGGCCGCAGAGCACAATCCTAGGCACTGTGGAAGTGAGGGGGTGATGTTCTTTTATGGAAGGGGGATAAATACCACACACCAAGAAGGGTTATTACAAAGATCACCTTGGTTGTGTTTGTGAAGTGCCAAACACAGAGCCTGGCACAGAGAAGGTCTTTAATAGACAGGAGCTTCCCCCATTTCTTTCTTCTCTTTATTATCATTAACAGCAAATACCAGCTAATGTGATAGAGAGTAGAGTAGACAGAGATGTAAACATGGTATTGTTTGAGGAGATGGGGTTGTAGCTGGGTTTAGAATTTAGGAAGAAGTAAGGAGAGCAGTAGATTCATACAGATTAAAACTAAGGACACGGGGCGCCTGGGTGGCTCAGTGGTTAAGCGTCTGCCTTCAGCTCAGGTCATGATCCCAGGGTCCTGGGATCGAGCCCCATGTCAGGCTCCGTGCTCGGTGGGAAGCCTGCTTCTCCCTCTCCTGTTCCCCCTGCTTGTGTTCTCTCTCTCTCTCTGTCTCTCTCTGTCAAATAAATAAATAAAATCGTAAAAAATAAATAAATAAAACTGAGGACACGGCATGTATATTCATAGACTTAGGAAAGAAACCTAGCCTTTGGCCAATAAATTATATTGGTAGGAGTAAAGGGTCCAGAGGGATGCCCAGCACACAATGCGGTGGTGAAACAGGAGTGGCCGGTGGGCAGGGTGCCTTCAAGGACTCAGTGAGGCATTTTGACTTACTATTACAAGCAGTAGGGAATCACTGTAGTTCTTGAGCTGGGACTGAAAATGATTTTTAGAGATCTTCATAAGGCAATTTCTTAGAGCTGGGCAACTTGGGGGAACAGGAAGACCACCAGGAAGGTATCTGGGCTCATGCTGGGGCCTCGCAAGGATAGTACTAATGAGCTCAGGGACCAGGGAAGCTGATGTCTTCAGAAAGGCATAAGTAGACTTTGGGAGTGCGATAACCAAGAGGCCGAGAAAGAGAGAAGGGTCTAAGCTTTGCTCACAGAAGGTCTGGACAGAGGATGAGTCCATTGGTGGTAACAAAAATAGGAAAGGGGTAGTTGGTGATTATGGAGTGAGCTGGTGAAGTCCTAGCCCTTCAGTAGCAGGGCTGGGAAGATCTGAGGAGAGAGCCTGCGCCAGATGCCCTCTTCTTTATGTGCCTTTTCGAAGCTTACAAGACTTATTCGCCTTCACATGATGAGGATCTTGGTGGAAGGGGATTTGTAGATCATTTATATCAACTGAGTCACGTCTCCTGTGTAAATCTGTAAATAAGTCAAGATTTGCTTTTAATGAATTTTTGAAGTTTTGCAAAAAAATTGGTTTTGTTTTAAAAAGCAGGCTCTTAATAAAACCCCTGTGCTCTCAACACAATTAGCCATTCTGATGCATTTAACCTAATCACAAATGGTCACATTGGGTGCACCTGCATTTGCCTTCAATCTACAAAGCCATATATTGAACTGGGAGTTCTGGACAACCCTTGGCGCTTGCTGCCCCCGCTTCCCTCAGATCAAGCCTTTGCCCACCCCATTCTAGAATGAGTGCCGTCGCTTCCGGGTCTAAGCCCAGCCCCATGGGTGGTTCTGGTGGGGACTCTCTGGCTTGAGCTGTGTTGTTTTCTCTCTTTGTCTCCCCATCATAGACTACTGTTTTCCAAAGTGAAGTTGGAGTCACTCTGCCGGGGCCCGGATGAGGCGCTCCTCACTTGTAAGCACATGTTACAAATATGGAAATCCTGCTACAACCTAACCAATCCCAGGTAAGAGGACAGCAGTGCCTGTTTTGCGTGGTTTTTGCATGGGTGTCCACCTCCCGGGGCCATCTCTGATGGGCGGTTAGCAGCAGGCATGACCCCTGCCGCCTTGTGCGCCTCCAGGTCCTCGTGAGCAGCAGATAATAGTGGTGGAACCATACACACTCCATTGTCAGGGGCTTTTCTTCCAGTGGCTGATGAAGCCCCCAGATCTGGAGTTTCTTTTCCTGTTGCTGCCACCGTGACCCACGAGGCCCAGTGACCAATTAATTACCACCTGATTTCTCTCAACCAGCCATTCATTTAAGTTCTTGGACAAGTCTTACCATCTTTCTGGTAATTTATGGATAGAGTAGTCAATTACATACTCCAGATGGGGGTGTTTAGAGTGGTATTTAAAAGACCTGCAGAGACAGCAGGCCATGTCCCACTAAGGAGAGTAGAAATCTCTATGGGCATGATAAAGTATAATTTTCAAAGAGTTAAAATCATGACGCAAACAGATATAAAATAAGCATGTATCAGAGGTTTTATTTACCTCATTAACTAACGGGGAAACCAGTAAAATGTTAAGCCTCGTTCAGAGAAGAATTTGAAAGATAGATAAACTGAAATGAATTTGCAGAGAAATGCAAAAACAGTATCCTATAGGACAATGAAATATATGGTTTGGGGTTGTCTTTTTACAGGGTGGAAATCAGTTGTATCTCATTTGCCTGCAGAACAGTAAAATGACCTTAATCAGTCAGAGTCATTCAGGGGTACCCACCCAACCGAGGCAGATAATCGGGGAAGTCCCCCTAGTTAACCCCCAACTCGCCCCTGAAAGACACCCAGTAACCTGTTGTGCCCATTTTCAAGTCTTGGGCAATTTTTCCTGGCGTCTGTTTAAATCACTAAGTGTGTCCTGCCCTTGGAAGGAAGTCATTTAACGAAAAGGGACCTAATAATTCAAGTGCATTCACACAACTGCTCATACACTTGGAACATTTTTCAAGCTCATAGCAAGATGTACGGACAGCCCACACAAGGCTCTTAAAAGTCAGGAGCCTAAAAAATATTCAAGTCAAGTCGTAAATGTGTACTAACGAAGGATGACACTTGCCCCGTACAGCCCCCCAGGAGGCAACAGGCTGGTGGCCGTGATGTGCAGGGCACGGGCCCGGGGAGAGGGAAGGTGGGGTGGGCGTTAGGGAAGCAGCAGAGGGCAGGAGGGATTCCATGTGGGATTTTATTTCTGTCGTTAAAATAGTCAAAATCAGGGCCCTCCGTGTTAGGGGACGGGTCCTTGTGAACTGACATTCAGCGGAGTTGTGACCACAGGGCCTTGTGGGCAGTGCAGCTGGAAGGGAGGGGGCTCATGCTGGCCAGCCCCAAGCCCCTTGCAAAGCTGGGGTCACGAGAATTAGCCAAGAATCCCTGTCACAGCCACGACCTGTGGCACGTGACTGCCCCATGCTCCATCTTCCTCTCGGTGAAAAGATAATCCTGAAACTGGCCTCTTCCCTTTTGTGGATATGTTCTGAAAATAAAGATCATTTTAATTTTTAAAGAATCCTACTTTTTTAAGTCTGTAAGCAGAAATAGAAAAGGCCCATGTTATGTTCCCGAAAAGCCCCCCACTCCCGGCCTCTCAGAAGCAGCAGGATTTAGGGAAGAGTCTTGGCCACGAGCACCACTAACAGGAGATCCTCCCCAGGCTGGTTGCTTCCGTCCTGGAGCATTCCTTTGCCCGTACCCCCGTTCGAAATGAGAAAATAAACCCATCAGCCTTCATGTTGCCAATTTTCCCTCCGTTCTCCACACCTCTCCCACCTCCCCACATTTCCTCCCACTTAGCAACCAAGAATATTGAATGTGAGGAGAAAAAAATAGCAGAATTGGAAAGCTTTTTAAAAATACTTAACCAAATGCCTGGGCTGTGTCCATACTTCCTCCGTTTCCTGAAGGATCTTGCAGGGCCAGAGCAGGGAGGAACCCTGGCTCCAGGCACAGCGTCTGGAGGGGGTGTGGGGGTGGGTGGAGGAGGACCCATCATGGGTTTGCGAAACTGCTCCCTCCAGCGACTCCCAAAGCCTTGAGGGAGGAGGAGAGGGGTGGTAATTGAGCAGCCCCTTAATAAGGAGCTTCCTGATTGTTTGTTTTTTTTTAACTTTATTTATTTTCTCTGGGATATAAATAAATGTTTCTCCTGTAGGCCTTACCATTGTGCAAACTTAGACATCCTCCCCAGTATGGTTGGGTTAGACATGACCCCAGCAGAAGAATGAAGCATAAAGAGGGGAGGGCTGCGTCTTGACAAGGGATGGCATCCTTCCTTGTCCTCCAGATAAGGGCAGTTCTGGGTCCGGCAGCCTCGAGTCCATGATCAGGTCACGCAAGGTTCTAGAAGAGGGTAGAAGCGCATAAACAAGTGCATGAGAAGCATCCCTGCTTAAAAAAAAAAAAAAAGAGAGAGAGAAGTGCAATAAAAACTGGGCAGAGAGCATCTTGGCAGGTGGTTGGTTTCTCCCCAGAGAAGGTCCACGCTGACTCCCTGAGTCGGGGCGCCCTTGTTTCTGAGCGTGCTCACTCGTGGAGGGGCTTCTGCTCTGCCTGCCAGGGCTCCCCACCGTCCCCCACCCCCTCCCAGCTCCACCCTGGGGCTGGCCCCGGCCCCTACCGCGGTGAGATGATGAGGCACAGAGATGGGAGGACTAACGGGCCACGTGGAGAAGAGACCGAGCTTTCGTGTTTCCCTGCAACTCGTTCCCTCTTGATCTTTGCTTGAAGGAAGATCACACTGAGCTAGTTGCTGAACCCAGCCTTAGACAACTTGCAAAGAGAGTTCCACCTGCAGGCTGAGAATGCATCTCTGCTGTGAGCAAAATGGTGGGTGGCGTTCTCTCGAGTGTACATTTGGCAAAGGTGTGTGTCATTTCAGAAGCCTGGATTTATTTGCTGGGTCTGCAGTTTTACTTGCCTTTAGGAGAGAAAGCTGTCTCTTGTTTCATCTCCTCCTCTCAGTGAAGGAGCAAGTTCCTTCAGTCCTGTGCCCATTGGCTCAGCCGCTCAGAACAGCGGGACTGGTGACCAGGGCCTCACCAGAAGGTTCTGGCAGCCTCCTGGAATGGACAGTCAGCGTTTCAGCTGATGATGGCAGCACCCTTCCCTGGGCCATCCGTGTGTGCCTTATCTCCAGCCCCTACATCAGCCTCGCGAGATCAAGACTCTTCTTTCCATTTTATAGAAAATAAACAAGGCTGAATAAGTTGCCTAAATTTTCCCAATTAAATAAGCACTAGAGCTCGGATTCAGGCCCAGGTCTGTGCTGACATCAATGCTCCCTGCACCATGCACACCACCTCTCCAAGTCGCAACCAACTTCCTTTCCTTTATTTTTATTTTTTTATTGTTAACCAGTTCTTTCCCATCCCCCTTGCCCCTGCCACGTGGACCATCTCCATCACGGGAGCCATGTCATTGGAAGAAAATATTTTCTTTCCCAGTCCTATTTCAATCGCTTACAAATCACACTTAAAGTTTTTATTAAAAAAAATAATAATAAAGACGTTTTCTTGACTCTAACCTCAGTTGGAAGCTGGAAACCCCATCCGGTACCAATTAATAGTCACCAGCGTTTTGGGGAAGCTTTTCTTTTTACAGAGCGTGCTCTTGTTCCATCTTCCAAGCAGCCCCATAAAGCAGGCAAATGTCATGTTCTTTCACACGCGTTTTACTGACGAGAATTGAGGGTCAGGGATATTGGGAGCTTGCCCTGACTCTTGTTAGCCAGCTGTGAGGGGCCTGGAGAAAAACAGGCATTTCCTCCTCTCCCACCTGCCCTGCTCTGGCTTCCCATCCCAGGCCCCTCTCTTCCATCTAGTAAATACTGTGCCAGGCGCTAGTTCAGAAGCCGGTAGGAGGCCGGGCCGCCACAAAGACCCCCGGGCTCTCACTCAGAGCCTACCACCAGCTTGCCTCTTGTGTTTAACAGCCTCTGCGGGCTGTGGAAGGTGGAGGATTTCCAAGAAAAGCTTCCAGTTTCCGGTATAGCTATACCCATCACTAGAATGTACTCTAAATGGTCAGTCCTGAGGGGGACCAGAAGTCACTTGCATGCGGGCATCTACCTGTGTGGATATCTACAGCTTACATACCGTGGATTTGGGGCTCCTGCCAGTGTCCTCCCCCTAAACCCTCCACTAGCACCATTGACCAGGAATGGTTCTTCCCTTCCTGCCGTCCTCCTTGAGGGGGGCCCCTGGCAGCCTCCGGGCCAAGCACAGGAGGTGAGATCACTGGTGGTGAGGCGGGAGTGAGTGGTCCACGGCAGGGGCCCAAGCAGGGTCCCCCCGGGAGAGAGGAAAGCTTTCGTGAGAGAGACTGGCCAGAGTGAGAGAGGTAAGGAGACTCAAGAGGTGGCCAGAGCCTCCCTTTGCCTCTTCCTCCATATCGCAGGGGTCATTGCAAAGGCAAATCTCGATTGGTTAAGACCCCACACCCTATAAACGTAGAACTAAAACTTGCTTCAAGCAACCAGCACAATTCTCAGTCAGAGCATTCAGAGCTGAAACGAGCATCTCTGAGCATCTCCGTTTTGAAGAGTGAATTGTTGCTTATGCACGATTTTCAAAAGGAACTCTGAGGAAGAAAGAAGGAATGTGACCGCCCATAGTTTCTCAGCTGGTGGAGGGGAAGTCGATCCTGTGTCATTACAATAGTGGGGAAGGCTCGCAAGTTAAGATTTGGGTTTTAGCAGTCGTTTCTAACATTCAGAGTAGGAGGCCCTTAACTCAGCTTCCCCACACCTGCCATTGTACTAGGAGGCTAGGAATAAAGTGGTCCTCAGAAATCAGCCAGCCACATTCACCTCGGGTGCATGTTTGTGGGTATATGTATTTATAATGATGCATGGAGTATACCTGAAAGTTATAAATCTTCTGAATGCTCTGTCCACATGACCTCAGTTCCTCCTCACGCCGCTGTATGCAGGAAAATAATCCTTATCTTCACCTGACAGGGAAGACCCTGAGGCACAGGGAGAGTAGGACCAGAGTGACCTACTGGTTAGGGACAGATAGAAGGTAAGATCCCAGACCCCTGGCTGGCTTCCAGGACCCAGCAGCACACGTCGCAGCTAATCCCGGGCAATGAGACTTGGTGAGCTGGGAAAGTCTGGAGGTTTTTGGCCAAAGCAAACCCATCAAAAACCCAGGCAAATCCTTTCTCTGCAATGCCTAGCACCTTACCGTGTGTCCTAGAATCCCCAAGGCGATGAAAAAAATCACTATATTTTGAGATGACATCTTCTGAAAAGCTCCGAGGTGGGGAGCCATTGCAATATTCAGATCATAACTCTTTGTAATATTTTTCTAATATTTATATTAAAAATACATGGATGAACGGACCGATGTTAGAAATATGCAGTCAGTAATGTGATTCATGAACATTTGCACCTACTTTTATGTTGTCTTCTGCTCAGAGACAGTTATTGTTTCACAGTTGTGGAAATAATTAATAGAACAGTTTCCAAAAAGCATGTATCCAATGATGTAATAACTATAGGCTGACAAATAGTCTGTACTGAAGCAAGTTTCCGTCTGTTTCCTGTGGATTTCTCTAACTACATCACTGGACGTGGAAATTACAGCCTACAAACCATATTAGGTTTCATACCAAATCTTGTTTGTACCACTTTTAGCAACAGCTGCATACAGGAAGGAAATTGTGTCCCTTTATTATAGAATTTGAACTTCTTAACAAAACAAATACCACACCTAGAGCCCCCAGATCAACAAAACAAAATAGCTTCAAAGAAAAGCATTATAAACTCAAACCTCAAGAGATGGATGTGCTGCTTTTTGGAGCTTCTTGGGTGGAATATCATGATAGAGGAAAAAAAAGAAGAATGCAATTGTTTTTGCTTACAGGCTTCTTAGAACAAAACAAAACAAGAGTCTGTAGGAGCTAATGTCCCCTACCTGTGTTTCTTTCCACTTAGGCCCCAGGTGGTCTCCCATGTGACTTGCCAAACACATGGTGCCAAGCCTGCTCTGTAGGGGGTGCTGGGGAGGGGGATTCAGTGCAGGAAGCTGGTAACATGCAGGCCTGGAGGCTGGTGCCTGAACCCTGCTGTGTGTTCTCAAGGCCCAGCCTTCTCCAGCCTCTCTTCACTGGACAAGCTGGGTGTCGGGGGGTGCCAGTGACCAGCAGCTCCCTATGTGATCCCACGACTATTAGATAGGGACACAAGGGAGGCCACAGCTGTGATTGCCCTTTGAAAAGTAGGAGCCAGGGGTTCTCAAATCTTTCTACACATTGGAACAATCTGGGGAGCTCAGAAAAATGTGGACGACCCCAGAAATACTGATGCATTTGGTCTGGAGAGGGACCTAGGCATAAGGGTCTTCTAGAAATGCCCAGGTGCCTTCCCTGGGCAGTGAGGGCTTAGCTGTAGACCGTTGATTTGTAAGACAATTCGAGGGTGGTGTGTTTATGGGCTTGATGAGCTCCAAGACTTCCAACACGGAAGGCCAATCAGTTCCCCATTCTAAGGCGGACAGAGAACCTGGCTTCAAGTTTTCAGTTTTGTGTCTTATAATGATACCAAAGAGGCTAAAATTAGCAAGGGTCTGTGGGTGTGGTTTAAGCGTGTTTGTGACAGTGAACATGGAAAGGGATCCCAGCCCAGGCTGAGCCAGGACGCAGAATGCCTTGTAGGCGACGGAGAGGTGCTGAGGAGCGTCCCAAACGCACAAAGGTGTTACTGCACGTCAGGGGTCGGCGATGGTTGATTCTGTGTCTCTCCCCCCTGTCCTCCTTCCAATGACTGACCTCTGCAGCTGTGTTTTGCAGTGATTCTGGACGTGGGAGCAGCCTCTTAGATAGAACCATTGCTGACAGACGACAGCTTAACACAATTACTTTGCCAGACTTCAGCGATCCCGAGACAGGTGAGAATAATAGACCAGAGGGGACGGAGCGGTGTCGGAGAGCGCGTGGGGCCCGGCCCTGAGTGGCGAGTGGCGTGGGACGAAGACTGCCAGGGATGGGGCTCGGAAATGCTCCTCGCGATAAGAGCTTAAACTCAGTCGAGGCGCATTTTCTCCAGTGTCTTTTCAAGTGTGTGTTCACAGTGGGGGACACGGTAGTGCCTGCCTGGCATAGCTCTTCGCGATCTATTTTTCCCCGTGCTCTCAGAGCCTCAAATTCAAAACTAAAATTAGATTGTTCACATCCCCACGAAGCTTCCCCTCTGCTTTTCTGTTTCTCCCTCCCTAAGTTTCGGATCTTGCCGAAAGGAGGTTTTGATTTTTAATCAGTTGAACATAGGGACGTCCCCACCCCACCCCCCGCCCCCAGCAAAAAGGCCCTCTAGGGACACAGGTGGGTTCCGAGCTTCTGATTCTCCGGTCCCCTGAGCAAGTGTGTATACCTTGTCATTTACGTTTCCACAGTCACCCGAGTACAGAGGAGCAAATACGCCTCTGTAATTTCCAAAACTCCAAACAAGTAATTCTAATAGTTCTACCGACTATTCGGTGGTGATTTGGGGGATATAAAGAAGCTCCCCTCTGCTTCGAGCCTCAAAGGTAGTTCCAGAGCATCATTTGAAAGCTGGTTCTGTTGCTTCTTCACCGCCCCCGCCCCCCGCCCCGTCCACCACCACGGTGCCCCGCAGAGGGCCTGTATACAAGGCTTCATCCCCATCTGGGTATGCCTCCTCTTTTCTGGGCTGGCTTCATGAAAGGAGCCTCCAGGTCCTTCTCCTGACCTTGTGACAGGTCCCAGCTCCTGCCCAAGCCCTTCCAGAGAAAGGCAGAGAGCAGCCCTGGGCTATGCACAGCCATCTCCTGAAAAATCTTGCCCCTGGCAGGATGGGAGAGATGCCACCTCTAGAAGCCAGATGTGCCACCCGCCCAAGCCCATGCTCACAGCTGCCTGCAGACTGCCTTCCTTGGCTAGGCTCCCTTGTACCAAAGTTAAAGTCAGCTTGAGAAGTCTGATCCCAGGGCCCCAGGGCTCCCAGGTTAAAAGAGTGTTGGGTATTGGATGCAGTGCAAATTGCAGATCAGTGCAGTTCAGCAGGGCTGGCGGCCACTGCTCAAAATGCAGACCGACAAAGCCACAAAGAAACCCACCCCCTGCAGTGGCCTGATCCAGCCCCCCCCACCACTGACCAGCAGTCCTGGGGAGGGGAGCCTCTGACTTTAAATATAGCACGGCAAGTCCTCCTAGAGACCCTATCGAACCCCCTCATTGCTGGCAAGGGAGGATGAGGCTGTTGGCTCTAGCCACTGCAGGGTGAGGCTGGGACACCACAGGGAGAAGGGGGTGAAGCTCACTGTGGCACCGGCAGCAATTTCAGCTGATTCAGAACAGCTGCTGCGGCTGCCCGAGGCTGCCCCTCCTCTGCCCCCTCCTCAGGATCCCGTGAGGACAGTCCTACTAAATTCAGACCCCCTTTCCTTCCAGCTGGCCTGGACCTTAATTTCCCCTGAAGTCCCAAGACTTGAATGCCACATCGCATTGAATGCAGATGGTGGCAGAACATAAGCGAGGTCCTTACTTGTTCTCCCTTTGCCCCGTGGGACATTTTCCCTAGAGACTTCAAGAGTGTCCCCGGCCAGGTTAGGCCTTCTGAGATGCGGTAGTATCCAGGGGAGGTGTGTGTGTGGCGCAGTCAGGGCGTTGCTGCGCCCTTGTCCCTACTGGGGTTTGTGCGTCTGCTCCGTCCCTCACTCTGGGAGCCCAGGTGGTCGGAGTGGGGTTGCTGACACAGATGCCCTCGAACAACAGGAGAACTGAATGGCACAGCCTCCAGGCCTGGCCGCTGGCCGTTTTCTTGTTGTTGTATGATCCCTACAAGATGATTCTTGCAGGAATCCTTCCAGTCGTTCACCGGCCCTGCCCTCAGGGCCCCCAGTTGTTGGTTTGCACACCACTAATTACTTACCCAGGAGGCCAGGGAATCAGAAATGTGGAAGGCCATGTTAGGAGGCCTTATCAATGCCGACTGGCTGTAAATGAGGATAGAACATTCTGAAATGACAGTTGAAATCAGAGAGACAAAAATGAGGAAGACTCCCCTAAAAATGGAAAGGGTGCCTCCATCTTGGTTAAGAGAGCCCAGTTTTCCGTAGTTCAGCTCCAGGGCAGGTAGAGGGCCAGCACATTCTCTTTCATTCACCTTTGTGGATGGCCTGACTTGTGAACGACCCACAGATTCTGAGTTTTGATTCAGAAGGTGCCATAAAGAAGTTTTGCTCTCATCCCTGCACCTCCATCTTGTTTTTCCCTAAAGGTAACCACTTTTATTAACTTTATGCTTGCCCTTCCAGTGTTTTCTTTTTCATGCAAATAATCATAGATATGATTTCCCATGTCCCCCTACATGAAAAATAGCATAATACTGTGTAGATATACCATCCAGCACCTGGCACTTTTCACTTCACGGCATGTCCCGAAGACCCCTCCACATCCACCTGCAGAGAATGTCCACGTTCTTTACGGCAACGTAGCGTTCCGTGGCGCAGATTCACACTCCAGGCTTCTCTGTCCCAAGGGACCTCAGCCATCTTCCTCCTTCTCTTTGCCACAGTCTTCAGTGCACGTGAGGGAGGAGGCTGGCCAATTTTGAATAGCACTGCTCATTTAGGAAAGCAACTGGGCTCTAGAGGAAAAGAGAAAAGGAACTTATCCAAGGTAAAAATGGTTCCGAATCAAAACAAAGTGACCGAGGTCAGCTATGGTGTGAGAGGACCCAGCCCTGGCAGGTGACAGCTCGCTGATAGTATTGGTCCCTGCCGCACCTGGTGCTTCTCTCCTTTCCTGAATTCCCTAATTTAAAGGGCCCAGGCATCCAACACGAGTGAAGCTGCACAGTGCTGGCATCCACAAGGACTTGGCCAAGGCCATGGTGAACCTCTACCGCCATGACCCTGTCCGTTCTCAATTACCCAGGGTGCAGATAGAGTCCTTTGCGAAGCCCCAGACCCTCTTGGGTCACTTGTTTTTGTGTTCCAGAACTAAAATTTCTTTCCTTTTGGTTTTTTTTTTTTAATTTCCTATTGTGGAAATTTTCAAATATACCAAAACAGAGGCACCAATGTAATGAATCCCCATGTACCTACCACCAGCTTTCAACGATTAGTATTCCTTTTCCATCCATCACTTCTGTCCCACACTTCATTTTTATGCAGTATTTTAAGGCATATCCCAGACATCATATTTTGTATACTAAAATTTCAGTATATACGTCAAAGAGATAAGAACTTTTTTTTTAAGAGATAAGAGCTTTTAAAAAATAGAAGCACAATGCCATTATTATACATCTGGGCCATTATAAGGTACAGGCTCAGCATTATCAATTTGAGAAGTGGTTAATTAACTAGGATATGGCTTTCCACCTCCGAAATCTCCCATATGAACATCTGTGGAATAACATAAGGGGAACCCATGTCTAGAAGCTTTGGACTGGCCAAGTCTACTGTGGCTAATAGAGTAGGCATTGGTTTCATTAAGTGGATGTGGCCAATTGAAAAAGCCCCCTAAACAACATGATTTCCCTTCCGTTGTCACCTCTGGCTCCCCTCCCCCCACCTCTAATAGGTCCCAGCCACAGAAAAGAGGAATCAGATAGAGTGACAGTCTTAACGTTGAAGCTATGAATCATTGTCTTTTCTTAGGAATAAGTTGGTAGTTCCTTAAATAGAGGATTAAAAAGAAATTTTTTTTTTCTTCCTTTTGCCTTCAAAACAGGTTGTGGAGTAAGGAGATTTATCTCTAATCATTGGTAGATATTACCAGACACCTATCTAAAACAAAATTATTCTTTCGCCTTGAAAGTTTGGTCCATTGTGTCTGGGACAATTTTTCATTGTGGCCGCGGTGGTCTCCCTGTTACTGAGTATGTCCCCAGTAGTGAGGCATGAAGGTGGCGGTCACAACTTCCTTTCCACAGTGCCCAGCCTGTGCACCCAACCACAGACCAGCTTAGAAAGCTTAGCCCTCCATTGTCACAATGCTGGGACCATGACCTATGGTTACACCTCAGTATCTCTACCTAGGAAAACCTTCACTTCCAAGTAAACTTTATATAAATGCCTCTCATAAAAAACAAACCTAGGAATAGCCAAGGTCTACACCTTTCCAACTGAAAAGCGGTCTCCTCTAGAATGCCCTGGATATTGTAGGTTAAAGATGTATTATTTTCAGCGGATCATGCTGCCGAGTCTGTGCCCAGGTAAATCTGAGTTATTTTTATTCCATGGTGTTGTTGCAGAACAATTAAATAACCAGTGGAAAAAACAACAAATTTGTTTTCTTCGAAAAGCACTTGTATTCTATTGTCCAGTAGAGGAATGATTGTGTATTACATGACCTCATTTTCTTTGCAGCTTATGTGAGTATATTAAAAGCTAGTTTATTTTTTTCCTTTGTGTCTCTGAAGCTTTTTTTTTTTTGCCTTTATCTTTTTTTTTTCTCTTTCACTTTTTTAGTGTCAGATTCCTCCTCCTCTTCTCTTTCAAGAACCGAATCTCCTCTCCACCTGTTTGTGTCTCCTCATCTCCGTTCTCATCCCAAACCTGACATCTTTGTGTGGCCCCCTGCGGCTCATTCATTCAATGACCCAGGTCCCCGCCAGGAACCCTCTCTGTGTAAACATGGTTTATGGTTTTTCCTTTCTTGTTAGACCTGCTGCATTTGCTTGATGTTTCATTTTCTGATAATCTTCTAACTGATAAGCTGGATAGGAAACTCCATCAAATTTATCTGAGAGAAAAATCTTGCCAATTTGAAAATCCCGAAGCTGGGTGGGTCAGAAGGAGACATTGGTACCCAAGTTCCAACCCCTTCTTTGAAAAATGAAGGAGACCTATTTTGAGCAGGATAAATTGAAGCTCTTCTAGACAATGCCTCTGGTTCTCAGCTACTCGTATGCTTTCCTGGA